TAAGAAGCAATTTATATATTTATTAGATCTCACAGATCTAAAACAAATATGTAAGATATAGCATTGCTCAGATAGAGCGAATCGTTTAAATACGATTACAAACAGTAAGAAATGGATTTGAAACCAGGGGTTGTGACATAGATAGCATAAAACAACGTAACAATAAATATTCAGACTGTGATACAACATATAAATATATTACTTGCATCCGGCAATCTCTATAATCTGAGTGACAACATAAACGTTTCTATCACTGTCAACGTGACTGGACCTGTAGGGTAATATGGTCCAAAATGGTATCCTTTCTTCAGATATAATTGGGACATTGTATGTGCCAATAACAACTGCATGAACTAATGTTTGGTATTAAAGCCCTTGCATTATGACGATGGTTTTTGGTCGCTGTCACATACAATTTTGAAAGTAGATGGGTACTCGTTGATTTTATTAGATAGACAGTCTTGTCTGTTATTGTCTGTATATAAGAAGAAATTCAAGTAAAGATGTCACAAAATCCCTTTATAACTTACTGTTAATTGACGAAATCCCATGAAACACTTTTAATCTATTCATAATTAAAGTTTCTCTCCTGAAGTTAACAATAAACTGTAATCATGTGACATATTTTAATCATATCATATGCAATAGAATACTATTGAAATATTTTATGGCTATACATAGTTTAACAAAGATGAAAAGATATTAAGTGGAGAATAAAATGTCTGAAGATGACGAACAGTATGCAAGCTCAAAATTCAATTAAACAATGCAAAATGAAAGCAAAGCAAACACGGCCTCTAAAACACCAGAGTTGGAATCAGGTGCCATGGAGGAATGAGCATCCCCTGCCAACAAGTCACACCCGCAGTGTGCTCTTTTTCATGATCAGAAAATAACGAAAAAATATTTAATTCGTCGTCAATTTGACCATAGACTTACGTAATGTTGACTTTAAAAGAGACTGCAGATATTTTTGTTTCACGAACTTGTTTGTCAAAAATTTACCTCGTTTTGAAAAATGTTCATTCGTAGAACATGCTCTTGCATAGTAAATCAACTGAAAGATATTAATCCCGTATGCAGGTGACGAAGGTATATTGCTACATAGGTAAGGGGAAGTTGAAGATTGAAAAGTAAAAGTCGTCAGGTTTATCAAGCTTGGTTGTTAGATTACCATAAACGACTTTCTAAAGAAAATATCACAACTGTATGGACTGACAAGATACTGTATTTATGTTTTGCTAAGTGTATTGAGTTATGAGGACTAACAATACAAAATAAGAGCAGAGCAAACACGGACCTCCGAAACATCAGAGGTGGGATCAGGTGCCATGGAGGAGTGAGCATCCCCTGCTGACCGGTCACACCCGCCGTGTGCTCCTTGTCATTATCAGGAAATAACGGAAAAATCCGTCTTCAATTCAATTATAAATAATGGACTAACAATTGGTATGAAAACCGTCAGTCATCATTTGACACAATGATAAACTGTATTTGCTGACAAGGTCATTGTATCGACCATAGAACTTACGAAATAATGACTTTAAACGAGAATGTTGATATTCTTGTTTCATCAACTTGCTTGTCAATAATTTACCTCGTTTTAGAAATTGTTCATACGTAGAGCATGCTCTTGCGTATCGAATCAACTGATATATAGATTTTCCGTATGCAGGTGACGAAGATATATTGCTGCATAAGTAGGAGAAGTTGACAATAGAAAAGTTAAAGTCATCACGTTTATCATAGAGCTTGGTTGTTAGATTACCATTAGTGTCTTTTTCAAGTAAAATATCCAAGTATGAAATATAAATGTCAGACTCTGTGGTATCTTTTACCTCAAGCTCACCAGGATATATCGTATCGACGAAGGAATGGAAATTACCATTATTAATAGACAATACGTCGTCGATATATCTAAATGTCGAGTTGAAGGCCAGAGCAAGTGTTTTCTTCTTTTCACGCATAAGATTTAGCATAATGGGTTCTGCTTCATATGAATATGAAAACAAGTCTGCTAATAACGGAGCCCAATTTGTACCCATGGAATTCCAATAGATTGTAGGAATACCTGGTCTCCGAAAAACCACATAAATAATGTCAATCAGAAACCCAAGCATCTTCTTGATATCAACATCAGAGTACTTATGTGTGCAATCAGAATATGTTTTAACAAAATAATTTTGCAAATGACCAATGACCTGGTAAGTTAATTTAAGAGTTCATTTTTTATTGAAGAAGTACCTGTCATTGATATCGAAAAGCCTGGATTTTAATTTTTCGTGGGGAATTGTTGTGTATAAAGTTGAAAAGTCGTTAAGTTTTTAAGCTGTTGATTTTTGTAAAGTCTTGTGATTTCAAATTGTCAAAAAGTTCTTTAGGATTACTTAGTATCCACATCTGATTCATACCACTTCGTGGATATATAGTTGCACGGTACTCTTGAAGTTTTTCCTTCACAACTGTCTATCTCTTAGTGAGGAGTAACGAAAGAGGATTGGTTGAACATTTACTGGAACCTGCAATGTGTCTTTGTAAGGATTCTTATGAAGTTTCGCAATATATGTAAGGTAGCTCAAATTCTTTTTGGCTCTGTGGAATATCAAAAGTACTCAAAACTGACAGGTGATTTTGAAGAATTTCTTCCTTAGAAAAGGAAGTATGAGTATAAGTAGGATTACCATTTGTAGAATTAAATCCAAGTTCTTCTAGGATTCAATTTATATAACGAGCTTTACAAACGAAGACAATGTTGTAACCTGCTTTGTCGTCAGGAAACAGTACGTACTGATCATGTAATCTATCTAATTCCTTTTTTCTGGTTTATTGAACACAGAAGAATAGATGGTTTTCATAGTCCCCCTCAATCTTTCAATACGTGACTATAACATGGATCTGATACATTTAATCCAATCTGACAAGGTGTCAACGTCTTCTTTTTCATATCTGGCCCATCAAAGTACCAGGGACAACCACTTTTACGCATTGTTCTGCCTCACTGTCGCATTTACATGGGCAGACGTTACCCTTGTCTTGTGAGGTCCAATGAAATACAACAATTAACAGTTTTCTGTTTATTTAGAGGAAGACATGAAAGGGTAAAATACTGAAAATAAACAAATAAACAATACATCACAATATGTTCATAATGGTAAGATCGTAATTGCTCACATACATCTGATTAATCTTACACACGCATTCTGAATTAGACTACATGTATTTATGAAATGATAGTGAACGTCCGAATTTCCTCACAGGAAATAATGTAAACATTACAGAACTTGTTATACAAAATAATTATGACCGAATAAAGAGCATACACAATATACACAAAACACAAGCAACATTTACTTACACCATGGGAACACGCACTCGGTTGCAATTAAAGAATTACAAGTACAGGACGGCCAAAACCGTGAGCAGCCATGCCATGCTACTAATCGTACATGCAACGTTACCTAAGTGCGTATAAACCAAAATACTAAAATATAGAACGCAAAAATCCGGAAAGTGTCAGAACACTCCCCGCCTGACGCCAGCTTCTACACTACACCTTCCTCAACACAGTCTTTCCCTCAAAGAAATGGGACTAGAAGAACAACCTCTGTAATCGGCCGTACATAATGAACGAACTATCATCCCCTGTTGGTGTGAACCTCGATCTTTCGGACCTTGCCATCATCATCAGGGAATGTTCGATTTATAACACCTATACTCCAAATATTGCGATGAGCTTCCTTCTCTCGAAGCAGAACAACATCATCAATCTGTAGATTGTCCTTAGAATCTGTCCATTTTCTCCTTTGTTGAAGAAGTTGCAAATATTCACTGTGCCACCATGTCCAAAGCTGCTGTGCTATAACCTGTACATGTTTCCAGCTGGAAACATACATGTCTCTTATGTCAAGTTCCTGAAAGGGTGGAACATCTGCTTCATTCTTCTGAGTGAGCAACATATTAGGAGTAAGTACCAATGGGTTGTGTGGGTCCATAGAAACAGGAACCAATGGTCTGTTGTTGAGTATTGCTGTAACTTCCGCCATCAACGTTACAAGGACATCATGGGTAAGTTTTATTTTTTATTACTTTAACAACTTATGTATGTTTATTAAGATAATTTGATTATTTAAATGTTTTGAGAGGTTGGTTGGGGCTGGTGTTAGTTGTACAATTTCATTAAAATATACAAAGTACTCAACACAAATGCAATATTTACATTATAAAACTGTTAATTGAAGTTGATGAAGCAAATATTTTGATTATAAATTACGCAAATTCTATTTTATACCATTTTTGTCTTCATAAATAAGACATGTTATATCTGAATGAATAGATTTAAATTAACTTTGCTCATTTACCGGCGCAAGAGACAACCTTTACATTAAAATTCATTTCTTTTACATAATCCTTTTTGGGACGGATCGTGTTTTTAAAAGTTTTCTGAAGCTTAAATGTATCTTGAAAAATTATACTAAACTAGAGCCGAGCTCGTTGCAAAGCAACGAGTAGGTCTTCCGTTGGAGCTGTGGACAGGAAGTACAGACCTTGGGTCAAGGTCACTGCACTTTCTTATGTCAACAACCTTTCTTCCCAGCATGAGCCTCCAGTAAATTTTGATTATAAAGTTATGCTTAAACATTATTTTCTTTGTCAGTGACCTTGATTTGCCAGAAAGACATTTGATCAGGGTCATGACAAAACCTCCACCAACAATCGCTAATATCAAATAAACGTGTTTAAAATCATGTTTGTTTTATTTTCCATTATATAAATAAGTAAATTTATTTGACAAGGTACCAAAATTGAATTAATTGCAAAGTGGGGAGAAGAAAGATTTATTTTTTAAAATCCTGCTATTCGTTTAAGGAGCAAATTAAGTACTTTCCAGAAGTCAAAACCCGTTTTGGTACATATAGCAGATAATTGTATTGTAATAAGATCATTTATTCATTCCTGCACTGGATGATATAATGACTTTTTTTATCAAAACAAAAGTAATGTTAGATCCAAAATTTTATTACAAATGTTTCAATGGCTGAATTATTTCTATGTCGGCGTTTAACAAAGAACAATCAGGTAGAATTTGATTGAACATAAATGAATGCAAGTTTCGTTTTAGTGCTTCTTGTATCGTAGTCCTCCGAATCTCCCATATCTTCCTGATCCTCCATATTATCCTCCTCTTCCTCCTCCTACGAATCCTCCACTCAATCCTCCAAATCCTATTCCAAATCTTCCTGATCTTCTTTTCAATCCTTCATATTTCCCCCTGTGAACTCCTCTTGTATTATCGTAAACTACGTTTCCGAATTCATCATATCCAAAATCTGTAACAGGCGAAAAATTACTTTATTTCATTACCCTGTAATTATTTTTTAAAGGACCCTTTATCACTGATACAGCTGATCTTTCAATGTATTTCAATATATTTTCTTCTCTCATAGGATATATGAATAACCGGAAAAAAATGTAACGGTCAACTCCGTGGTTTTATTATCATCTCTGATAAAAAAAAAAACTAGTAGCATATATTTGATGACCAGAAAACCCATTGGTAATTTACAAAATAATATATTAATTTGCATTTAAATTCTTTTTCAGACGTTGAATGGAATTACCATAGCAACTCAAATATTATTATGAAAAGAAAAATTTAATGATGATCAAAGGAAAGAGATAGACGATATAACGTATAAAGTAAACTTACCGGTCGTCAGGGCCACATGGAAGAGTATGGTCATTGCAACCAAAACCAAGAGTTTATCCATATCATTTAACTTGTTTCAAGACTGCAGATAAATTAATCATTGAGTTTAAGGCCTTATATATTTCAAACGAACCTGATATACTGTTGGTGTAGTCACATTCACCAATCAATGCTTATTTATTAATAACAATAGAAATTATAAATGTGATAGAAATGTAAAATATTTGGGAAATTAAATGATGCTGATGATTAATTTTTTTTAAAGTAAACAGTATAATTAATTTCACATGCTGCAATACATTTGATATTTGACCCATAAAGAAAACATGAAACAAAAATGGGACAGTCATTCAAATATAACTCTAAGTGAAGTGGAAGTGTTGCCTTATAGTGGACAATAAATGAAATGCCATTTAAAAAGAAGACCATACTTATCCATATGTGAACGAAGCTAATCTAGATATTTTTTTTTTAAATGAAAAGAATATGGATATTATGAACAGTATTCAAGCTCAAAAATCCATTAAACAATACAAATCAGGAGCAGAGAAAATATGAACCTTTAAATTGTCAGTGACGGAATCAGGTGCCATGGAGGAGTGAGCATCCCCTCACGACCTGTCACACCTTGTGTTCCTTGTCATGATCGGGAAGAAAATTGGTTGACAATTCAGTGTTTAAATACTCTTTTTTGGTCTTAGATCAGAAAAAAATCATGTTCCATGAAAAAAAAAATGTCTACTTTTTCGGGTATGCCCGTTTTGCATAAATTATACCATGTTTCCAAGTTTTGTTGATGTCCAAGGTATATCCAACAGGCTAAAGAGTGATTCCTTATATTTACAATTTATATCTAAGTAAAATTGTAAAAAAAAAAAAAAGATTTAAAAATGTCTACTAGATTTAAACTTTACGAGGCTTAACGTGTCAATTTCAGAAGTACTTGCCTAATGACGTCAGATACAAAGACAACTGCAAGAGATTAACATTAATCTTAGGTACTTGATCTTCCAATTGGCGAAATTTGAATTCGAATTAAATAATCAAGCAATCAACTTACCAAACTTTCCCAAGAGTCATTACAGAAAAAAACAATGAGAAATGTAAATATGATAGCCTAATCCCTCACACTATCTTCTGCTATTATGACAATTATCAGGAGACGGTAAGTCACGTTTTAGTTAATTCATTGCAGATTTCATCCTGTTACATCATATAAAGTTTTGTTTTAATGTGTATACAGTGAAGCTGCACTTTATGGCATCAAAGATCCTTATCTTAAACACGCTGGTTTCAACAAATCTGAAACGCCTTTTCCTAAAACAGTTTCTCTCGTACTCGACTATTCCGTTGGTATGTGGGAGACATGGAATATCACATAATATGGATAAGGATCGGGCTCACGGATACTTTCTCATTGATGAAGGAAACTAATACTGTTTAAAGTCAACATTTTGCAAGTTCTATGTTCGATGCAATGACCATATTAACAAATATCATTAAATACACTCATGTTATGTAACACATTCAGGGTAGCTCAGTCGGTGCAACGTTATTGTTGACAACTTACACGAACGATCGCGTAACACGATCACGATTCCGCACGATTAAACCTGTTACACGAACGATCCTTCACACACACACGGTTCTACACATTACACGATCTTACACGATTGCTAATGCAAAAGCACGATTCTTCACTCAAAATAGTTCAAAATATTTAGGAATCGATATTTTCAAAACGAAATACGGCTTACATGTAATACTGATCTTTTATTTAAAAGAATTATCAATATTATTTCCTCGAATTTGAAAAAAACCGGAAATGGATATGTTATGGGTCAGAATTACCCGAAATGCCAGCAAAGATCAATAACACAATTTAAACTTAACAATAATTTATTTACAGTAATATATAATAAGTATATGAAACATAAAGTACAAACTTAGCAAGAATCCGTTTCTGCACACAATGTCCCAGTGAAAATATATATCCCAGTTATATCTCAATGGTGCTCATACGACAAAAGTATCCACAATTATTGTCTATGCATTGAATTGACAGGGTATTTATACAGTATTATAAATCTAGAATATTCTAGAAAATGTTAAAACATGATATAATGGGAACAATCTGGACATACACAAAATTTAAGAATGCTCTAGATAAAATGACCGAACATGTTGACCACTCTGGAACGTTCAAAAAACTTAATGTTACTAATTATATACATAATGAAACAATACACATCTCACAACACCTCCCCCCTTAAAAAGTTTGAATGTCAATGAAAACTTATATTATTAAAATAAAAGTTTTGTACATTAATACGAATTCTAGTATGTTTACGATACTCTTGACAAGGCGTCTGCAATAACATTGTCTTTGCCTTTGATATGCTTAATTGTTATGTTGTATTCTTGTAACAACAAACTCCATTTAGTCAGTCTTTGATTCTTATTTGACAATTTATGCAAAAATGTCAGGGGGTTGTGATCCGTATATACAAGAATTGGATGCAAAGTAACATTCAGATAAACATCAAAATGCTGTAAGGCTAACAACAAAGCAAGGCATTCCTTTTCAATGGTGGAATACTTTTGTTGACATTTTGTAAGTTTCTTTGAAAAATAAGAAACAACTCTATCTACCTTATCACTATGTTCTTGAAACAAAGCTGCCCCGATTCCAACATCACTAGCGTCAACAGTAAGCTTAAATTGCTTAGAAAAATCTGGAGTTGACAGAACTGGGTTGCTCATAAGGACAGATTTGATTTTATAAAAGGATTTTTCACAGTCCTTTGTCCATTCAAAGTTAACCCTCTTTTGTAAAAGATTTGTAAGTGGACTAACAACTGAGGAAAAATTTGGACAAAATTTTCTGTAAAACCCAGCCATGCCCAAAAACCTCATTAATTCTTTCTTGTTTGTACGAATCGGGAACTTTGCAATAGCTTCCACTTTAGCCATAATGGGTGTAACATAACCTTGACCTACTTTATGACCTAAATACTCTACATAAGCATGGCAAAATTCACTCTTTTCAAGGTTCACAGTTAAATTTGCTTTAGCTAAAATGTCAAATAAAGCACGCATGATTCGGAGATGTTCTTCCCACGTGTTGCTGTATATGACGACATCATCAATGTAGGCCTCGCATCCCTCAAGATCATGGAGAAGGGAGTGAATCATCCTTTGGAATGTAGCCGGTGCGTTTTTCATGCCAAAAGGCATTACTTTATACTGGTAAAGTCCATCTGGTGTAGCAAAAGCAGATATTTCTTTTGCTCTTTCTGTTAACGGTACTTGCCAGTAGCCTTTCAACAGGTCAAATTTACTGACAAATTTCGCATTTCCAATGTTGTCAATACAGTCATCGATTCTAGGTATTGGATATGAATCAGTTTTGGTAACAGAATTCACCTTTCGAAAGTCTATACATAATCGGTAAGAACCGTCTTGTTTTGGTACAAGAATACACGGTGAGCTCCAATCACTTTTACTAGGTTCAACAATGTCATTGTCCAACATGTACTGCACTTCCCTTCTTAGGTACTGCAGTTTTATTGGATTCAGACGGTACGGATGTTGTTTGATAGGCAGAACGTCACTCACTATAACATCATGACAAGCTGCATTAGTTTTCTTTGGAACATCCGAAAAGATCTGATGATACTCATTCATCAAGTTTTTAACTTGTTCTTTTTGGTGAATGTTCAAATGTCCAAGTTTGGCATCAAAGTCAGCCAAAATTTCGGAGTTTTTCAAACGGACACTCTGATTACAATCTTGCTCATTCATTTCTACACTCGTATCACTTTCAATACAATTTTGAACAGTCTTAGCATTGGCTAAAATGGAAACTGGTTTTACAGAATTTCGGTCACACCTTTCAAAATACTCTTTTAACATGTTAATGTGACAAACCCGTTTCTCTTTACGTCGACCTGGTGTCTTAACTACATAGTTTACATCACTGATCTTGCTTTCAATTTCATAAGGGCCATAAAATCTGGCCTGTGAAGGATGACCAGGAATAGGTAAAAATACAAGAACCTTATCACCTGGCTTAAACACCCTATTTCTGGCATCTTTGTCATACCACATTTTCATTTTCATCTGAGAATTCTTCAAATTTTCTTGTGCTAATTTACAAGCATTGTAAAGTTTTTCTTTGAAATCAGACACATAATCTAAAAGATTAAGATCACTAGTCTCAGTCAGCCACTTTTCCTTCAACAATTTCAAAGGACCTCTAACTGTATGTCCGGACACCAATTCAAAAGGACTGAACCCAAGAGACTCCTGGACTGCTTCTCGTGCAGCAAATAGCACAAGATGAACCCCTTCGTCCCAGTCTTTTTCATATTGGTAACAATAGGTCTTCAGCATTGTTTTTAGGGTTTGATGAAAACGTTCTAGCGCTCCCTGGGACTCAGGATGATAAGCAATTGATCTATATTGCCTTATACCCAACTCATGCATGACTTGCTGGAACAACCCCGACATAAAATTTGAGCCTTGATCCGACTGAATTGCCTTGGGTGCTCCTACAAAACTGAAAAACTTGGTTAGGGCTTTAACTATGCTCTTTGCCTTTATATTCCTAAGAGGTATGGCTTCAGGAAATCGAGTGGATGTACACATAATGGTAAGTAAATACTGGTTCCCAGATCTGGTCCTAGGCAAAGGTCCTACACAATCCACCAACACTCGACTAAACGGTTCTTCAAAAGCTGGAATGGGTTGGAGAGGAGCAGATGGTATCTTCTGATTTGGTTTACCTACCATCTGACAGACATGGCATGACTTGCAAAACTTCGAAACATCCTTTCTTAGCTTAGGCCAATAAAAATGACTCAAAATCCTATTATAAGTCTTATTGACACCTAAATGACCTGCCATAGGTGTATCGTGAGCTAAACTCATGACATCTCGACGATAAGCAGCTGGGACCACTATCTGGTGAACAACACGCCACACTTCATCTGGAGAAGCGTCAGGTGGTCGCCATTTTCGCATAAGGATGCCATCTTTCATATAGAAGCATTCTCCAACTTTAGTAGCCTCTTCTGGTGGTAGTGCCCTCTTACTAAGTTGAATGATATCTGGGTCTTTATGTTGTTCAGAGAGTAAACGTTCTCGGCTGAGGATGTCCTTGCCTTGGCTAACTAGTGGATGCAACTCATCATCCTCACCACCAAATTTTGGTAAAAGTTCTTTCTTCTCTTGCTTCTTGATATTGTGTGGTTCCATGCTTGTTTCAGTGCCATCAAGGTCAGATAAGAAAGTGTCATTCAAATCAATATCAACAGAGGAATTCGTCTCGTCAAAGGCTTGAGTATGGTCTGCCTCCATTTCTCGTCTTCTGGCCATCGCTCTAGTAACAGCACAGGCTGGATAAATGTCATCATCTTCATCATTATACATGACATCTGGAGTGATCTTCTCACAAACTATAGGATCTGGTACAACTTTCCCACCAGCTAAATCGTTGCCTAACAGCAAAGAAATGCCTGGAACGGGAAGAGTAGGTCGAACACATACGATAACAGGTCCAGTAACTAAATCTGACTTCAAACTAATTCTATGCAGGGGAACATCAATGACGCCTAGCTCCACACCCTGTA